TGTTTCCTAGTGTAGGTGTGCCTAGCTTAGCCTCCCCTGCTGCGTCAGGCGTAGGATCCCCTGCTTTGTGTAGTCTTGGTGCTTCCGCCGTCGTTCCGTCGCCAGACGCCTCTGCTTCGCTTTCCTTCACCTTGGACTCTGGCGCTTCTCGGTGTTTCTTCCGCGACTCCACCACCCTGACGCCGCTTCCTGTTCCTGCTGCCGTTTCTCTTGCTGACCCCTCCGGCGGTCCGGTAGTCGCCCGCAGTTCTACCACCCTTCCCTGTCCGGCGGTTCCTTCGGGCACTCTCACAGGTCTGCATATCCCCTCGTTCTCCAGGAACCTAGTTGGTGTCGGCTGCCTCCAGGACCTTGGCGTCACCACTACGTTCCCTGGTCACGAGCGGTATGCTGTCTGTACCGAGGCCGCCACTGATGCCCCCCTGTCCACGTTCCCCCGGGACCCGGTGTCCGGCCTGTTCACTCTGGACACCGTGACCCCCCCGGCTGGAGCGCTCACCCAGGTTGCTGCCGCCTGCTCCTGCCGGTCCCTCACTTACCCGACCCTCCTTTGGCACCACCGCCTAGGTCACCCTGTGCTCCCGCGTCTGCGTCACATGTCCCAGCACGGTCTTGTCCTTGCTCTCCCAGGTTCTCTCCCCGCTTTTCCCTCTTCCCCAGCCCCACCTTGCACGCCTTGTGTCGAGGGTCGGCTTCGCCGTGCCCCTCACTCCTCCTCGTTTCCCCCTACCGCCGCGCCGCTGCAGACCCTGCACCTAGACGTCTGGGGCCCCGCCCCCGTCCATGGGCCGCGTCGAGAGCGCTACTTCCTTGTGCTTGTCGACGACTTCACTCGTTACACCACAGTCTTTCCCCTGGAGCGCAAGGCCGACGTGCCTGGCGCTCTCATCCCCTGGCTTGTCTCTGCGCGTGTCCACTGCGGTCTCCCTGTCTTGCGTCTTCACTCAGACCGTGGTTGCGAGTTTGCCTCAGGTGTCCTTGGTCGCTTTTGTCGTGCGGAGGGCATCACCCAGACGTTCACCCTACCGGACTCCCCACAGCAGAATGGGGTCGCTGAGCGACGCATCGGTTTGGTCATGGAGGTGGCTCGCACCTCCATGATCCATGCCGGTGCACCCCATTTTCTGTGGCCGTTCGCTGTGCGCTACGCTTCTCACCAGCTTAACTTGTGGCCGCACCCTCAGGAGCCGCAGGTTTCGCCGACCCGTCTTTGGACTGGGTCTCCTGGTGACGCGTCTGCGTTCCACGTCTGGGGCTGCCTTGCTCACGTCCGTGCCTCCGGCACGGACAAGCTCACTGCCCGCACCCTTCCCTGCGTCTTCCTCGGTTTTCCCCTTGACGCGTCCGACTGGCACTTTTACCACCCGCCGTCTCACCGCTTCTTTCACTCTCGTGACGTCACCTTTGACGAGTCCGTCTCCTACTACCGTCGCTTCCCCCACCGTGGTCCCCCGGTTACCCCCCCCTGTTCCTGGTCACTCCTTCCCCGGTAGTCCCTGCCCCTCCTCCTCCTCCTCCCCGTCCTGCCCCCTCTAGTGTGTCCCACGTCACCCCCCGTCCGTCGGTGGACCCGGTTGAGAAGTCTTCTGACTCTGGTGGCCCTCCTGTTCAGTCCTCGCCGGCCGCCCCTCCCCTAGCGTCCCCTCCCGAGTTCCCCCCTCCACCGCCTCTGCCGCCGCTGCAGCCGTCGTTGTCGCTGCCGCCGCCGTCGCAGCACCCGTTCGCTGACTCTGGGGGTGCTCGTCCCGGTAGCCCTGGGGTTGGTCCCTCTGGGGGTGATGGTGTGGAGAGTGCCGGTGGTAGCCGAGGAGCAGCTTGCGGTCCAGGTGTCGCCGTTGTGCCGCCGCAGCAGCAGTCCCCGCCGGTGTCAGCCCTTCGCCTGCTCGGCCTTCCGTCCCCGACCCTGCGTCGGTTCCTCCCCGACCGTCTCCTCCTCTTCCTGTCTACGGCCCTGTCTTCCCTCCGCCGGACTCGTCCCCGGCCCGTCTCCCCCCTCGTTCCCCTCCTGTGTCCCCTCCTCTGTCTCCTGACCCGACTCCTCCGTCGCACGTCAAGTCTCACCGTCCCTCCCGTGCTCGTCCTGCCTCGCCTGTCTTGCGCTCCCACCCTATGTTGCTTCGTTCCCACGCGTCTCGTCCTCCCCTTCTGCCGTCGCCTCCTCCGTCCTCCCTTGTTGTTGCACCCCCCCCGGCTGTCTGACTACCTTCGTGCCGCTCGTCCCCTTGTTCCTCGGGTCCTTGCCTCTCTCGTTACCGACCCGTCTGTTCCGGCCTCGTGCCTTGACGCTCTTGTCGCTGCTGTCGCTGACTTCGCCTCTACCCGCCGCCTTGACTACGCCTCCGCTCTGGTCTCTGACCCTGCCTGTCCTCCGTCTGTCGGGGGTGCTCCTGCCCTTGGCAGTGACGTCCTGGAGGACCGCCAGTTCGAGCTTGCTTTCCTGTCCGAGGCTGCTCCCCATCTCTGTTCCATGCTGCTAGTCCCTGAGGGTGATCCAGACGCTTTCGACATCCCGACCCCTCGCACTTACGCTGAGGCGACTTCGGGACCCTGGGCCTCGCAGTGGATAGCTGCCATGGAGCAGGAGATGGCATCTTGGAGATCCACCGGCACCTTCGTCGACGCAGTTCCCCCGCCTGGGGTGAACGTAGTCGATGGCCGTTGGCTCTTCAAGGTGAAGCGCCCTCCTGGAGAGCCGCCTGTCTTCAAGGCGCGCTATGTGGCTAGAGGCTTCAGTCAGCGCGAGGGGGTGGACTTCTTCCAGACCTTCGCTCCGACCCCGAAGATGACTACTCTTCGGGTTCTGTTACACCTAGCTGCTCAGCGTGACTACGAGCTTCACTCCCTCGACTTCTCCACTGCCTTCCTTCAAGGCAGCCTACACGAGTAGGTCTACCTGCGTCGCCCTCGGGGCTTCACTGGCACCTTCCCTTCTGGAACCCAGTGGCTCCTGCGGCGCCCCGTCTACAGCCTGCGCCAGGCTCCCCGTGAGTGGCACGACACTCTCCGTGCTACGCTTGCTGACCTGCAGTTCTTTCCGTCTTCCGCAGACCCCTCACTCTTCGTTCGTCCTGGCCAGACTCCGTTCTACATCCTTGTTTACGTCGACGACCTGGTCTTTGCCACAGCAGACAGGGACGCACTGGCCTCCGTGAAGGCAGAGCTGCTGAAGAGACACACGTGCACTGACCTTGGAGAACTGCGCCGTTACCTTGGCTTGCAGATCTCCAGGGACAGAGCTGCGCGCACCATCACCCTGACTCAGTCACACTTGGTGCGCCAGGTCCTTCAGAGGTTCAGCCTTCAGTTCTCCTCTGCACAGCCCACCCCTGTGCCTGTAGACCACAGACTCTCCGCTCCAGTGTCTGAGGAGTTGGTAGAGCCCAGCGGCCCCTACGCAGAGCTGGTGGGTTGCCTCATGTACCTGATGACTTGCACTCGCCCAGATCTCGCATACCCTCTCAGCATGCTGGCTCGCTTTGTGGCCACTGGCAGACACCGACCGCAGCACTGGTCTGCCACCAAGAGGGTTCTGCGTTATCTTGCTAGTACATCGGGCATGGGGTTAGTGCTAGGAGGACGCAGGCCAGTGGTCCTTACTGGACACACAGACGCTTCGTGGGCAGACGACGCTGAGACACTCAGGTCTACCCAGGGCTACTGCTTCAGCCTTGGCTCAGGTGCCGTCTCGTGGAGAGCTACCCGCTCCTCGTCTGTTGCGCAGTCCAGCTGTGAGGCTGAGATCTACGCTGGTGCCATGGCGGCACAGGAGCTCCGCTGGCTGACCTTCTTGCTCACTGACTTAGGTGAGCAGCCTAGCACTGCCCCGTTCCTGTTCGCTGACAACAGGGCCATGATCCTCCTGTGTCAGGAGCCTCGACTCGAGGGCAGAGCAAAGCACATTCAGCTGCGGTACTTCGTCCTGCGTGAGCTACAGCAGCGACGTCAGGCTCGCGTAGTACACTTGGCCTCAGGTGCCAACACGGCTGATATATTTACGAAGGCGCTTGCGCCTAAAGATCATCAGCGGCACTGTGTACAGCTTGGTCTAGTTCCTGTAGCCTCTCACTTGCTAGGACCTTGACTTTGTACTGTCCTTTATACGTATGCTCAGACTGGACTTGTGTCCTCTTCCAGTGGCTGGACTAGTAGTGCCGCCCTGCTCTTGTTCTTGCCTTGTCTGTACTCCTTCTGACTGGTCTCTCAGACCCTTGTCTCAGAGGTTGGACTAGTAGTGCCGCCCTGAGCTGCTTGTTTAGGACATTCCCCTATGCAGTCTAGGGGGTGTGTCAAACATGTGTATTTGTCATGTTTGTATAGACTGTATAGGGTCGCCTCTTAAAGGGTACAACACTTAGGTATACCTGTGTGTACTCTCACTCTATCTATTATTCACTTCTCTACTTTTGATACAGGAGACTAAGTATAGAATCTGCAAACAGGAGTACTTAACCAAGGATCTTTGCTGGAATGGTTGGCTAGTAAGACAGCGGAAGTCTTATCAGAGTGAACCTGAGCACATGAACTTGTGGGTAGTCGAAGGTTGAATATCTTGAGCACATAATTCTGTGGAAAGTCAATGTTGATAATAGAAAGGCATTACAAGGATTTATAGCTTTAGGGAAAGTACCTGTTCGGCTAGTTGCGCTCTATGCGACCAATTCGCGTGACTGAAAACGGTTCATTACGCCTATTCGCGTATCTGAAGCGGTATGCTGACGTCATCTCGTAGACCCTCGATGCTTTACTGACATCAGCACTTGGGCATGGTTACTGAGAAACTAGATACTGCTAACTACACCAAAAACGGAACTTGCAGGAATGCAAAACTTCATTTATCACAACATTCCGGACCTCAAGAAAACGTACGCCTTTTCAGCTAGAACTTGGATGGCTGAAATCGCCATGAAACACTGATTCCAACGCACATCTAAAACAAACCTGTCCTCAAATATATCACCAGGTTGCTATAGCCTAAACGCGAAATAGAACACCCACCCCCTTGATTTTGCATGAATTTTGTACTGTACCCAGGGTGTTACATCCGAGGGACTACGGTATGTCCAAAGCTCACTTCAATGACTATGATAGTCACTCATCAACGTTGACTGCTCTATTGTGCACACGCCAGCATACTGGTCAGAGTTATCACAAAACTCAAAGACTGTTACAGATTACTACATTTACCGGCCTCATTCGCACCTAGAAGTACGTGCCCAAACCAAAATTATCTACCGGGGATTTCACTTGCTCTTGACGGTGATGCCGTCAGAGCCAGCAATGATGACAGTGGTGGCCATGTCAAGGAAGAGCCCGTGATCCACCACACCCTGCAGCCCGTCAATGGCCTTGGCCGCCGCGTACGAGTCCTTGATGGGCGACTGGGGGGGGAGATTGGAAGGGGGGGGGGGAGAGGGAGAAACACAGGGAGAGAGGGTGAGGCAGAGGGCGGCGGACAGGCAGAATGGCATCCTAAGGGCAGAGCTACCGGTAGGAAAAGACGCGGGCCAATTCTACTGTGTGTCTGTGTAGGGCTCGGTGAAAGCACGGAGGGGTTATGCGAGGAAGCATTGGCGACATGCAAGTGCAGGGAGCAGGGAGCAAGCACCCTCCACATAGGGAGCAGGGGAGTGGGTAGCGAGCACTGACGGTGAAGTAGAGGTCGACAATGTAGTTGGAGTTGTCCGTCACATAGGGCTTGTCACCCTCCATGCGGAGCTTGGCCTGGCATGAACAGACAGACACACACACACCATCCATGCACACACCAGCACACACAAGTAGACACACATACAATCACACACACATATGAGCCCACTTAGCCCAACAAGAGCAAGAAGAGCAAGAAGAGCAACCTCAGGGGAGGAAAGGCTGTGACGCACACGCCACGGTAGACACAAGCTTAGCTTACCTCAGCGCCTTCTCCTTGTCACGAGAGGCAGGCAATTGACTGCACTGCTGCAATCCTCTACAAATCAAGTATCTGTAACTTGCCTCTCCCCACCCTGGCAAATCCCCTCAGCTCTCTGCTTCTACCACCTGCACACACCTCTCCAGTCATCCCCACCCCAAGCCCTCACACAACTCCCCAAACCCCTCGCCCCTCCTTTCCCCCCAAGGCTCACCTCGCATCCAGCCACCTCAGGCGGCACCTAGAGTCGGCATTCCTGCTGCACTATCTCCAGCCCTCCCTCGCCCCCTCTCCCAACAACTCCCTCGCACCCAGCGACTTCGAGCAGCGCGTAGGGCAGTTAACACTGTGCTTCCATCAGAACTGCACTACCACCGGCCCTCGCTCCTCCCTTCTCTCCCCCCCCCCCCCCACCCCTCTCTCCTCCTCAACTGCTCACCTCGCAGCCAGCAACCTCGGGCAGCGCCTTGATGCGGTTGAGCGTGTACTTCCAGCAGAATTGCACGATCTCCACCGGCATCGCCAGCCCGCTGCCGCCCAGACCCTCCACCAGCTGAGCAGGCACAGGGGGGCGGGGTTGTTGTGGGGAGACAGAGCAGGGGCAGCATGAAGTAGGGGGGAAAAGCGTCACTGCACTGCCCTATCTCCAGCAGTAGGGGCAGCCCGCTGCCGCAGACCCCCTCCACCAGCTGAGCAAGCGCGCACAGGGGGAATGGACAAGGGGATCAGGTTGGTGGGGGAAGACAGGAGGGGGCAGGGCAGGGCAGCGCAGGGGAATGAGGGCTCCTGCGCTTTCTCCTCTCCACCGGCATCGCCAGCCCGCTGCCGCCCAGACCCTCCACCAGCTGATCGGATCATAAACAAAAGGGCGGAGAGGGGAGAAGAAGGGGAAAATAAAGAGATGAAGAGGGAGAAGGGTTGGGGGCGGGGGGGAGGGGGGGGGGGGGTTCAGAGATGAGGAGACTAGAGGGGGGTTGATGGCTGGGGAAACGTATCCACTACATTGCCAGCCCAACGGCAGTGTGAGATTCGGTACATACGCGTTAGGAGGGACGACAGCGGAACGTGGATATTGTCAGACAGTGAGCAGGGGTGAGAGGGTGAGTGGGTGTGCAAGAGTTGGAACTTGGCACGAGTTTCAAGTTCAACACACTCTCCTCCAATCCAACTCCACGGCTGTCAGGCACCGCGGTCTGGAAGTTGGCGAGTTTGGAAGTGAAAGTTGCAGGGATGAGGAGAGGAGGGGGCGTGGATTGGATTGGGTACGCAGAGAGATAGGATATATGGACAGACGGATAGATGGATGGGTGGGTGGGTTACCTTGGTGTCATCGACAATCACAATAAACTTGGCCGATGCCTGCTCCACCATCTGTGGACGGAAGCACAGCAAGTAGCACAGCACGCAGCACAGCACGCAGCAAAGCACGCAGCACGGCAGGCAGCACGGCAAGCCGCACAGCACCAAACACACGGGACGACGAAGCAGCACAGGGGAAAGAGGGACAGTCAGGAAAGCTGCTTCAGAGAGCAAGCAAAGCACATGGAACTGGAAGAGACAGAGTATATATGTTTCCTTCTTTCCTGCTTGCCCCCTCTTGTGCGGATTCCTTCCACCTCTTCCCTCGTTTCTCCGTCCCCCCATCTTTCCTGCCCTCTCTCCTCAACGGTCCAGCAAACCCTCCCCCTCCCCTTCCCTCCCCTCCCCTCCCCTCCCTCCCTCCCTCCCCCAACCCTCCCCCTTCCCCCCACCCCCCGACTCACCTTCTCGCGCAGCAGCGCGCCCCCGCGTCCCTTAACAAGGTTGAGGTCGGGGTCCACCTCATCTGAGCCGTCGATCGCCACATCCAGCTGCGCTCGCATTCGGGGGGTTGGGGGGAAGGGGGTTGTTGGGGGCGGGGGGGGGGGGGGGGGGGGAGAGGGGCACGCATGCACGCATATTGGTAATAATCAGCTGGATCCACATGCTGGGGATGCACATTCACGGCAGTGCGGGAAGGGGGGGCTGCACGGAGGGGGGGCCGGGGTGGGGAGGGTGGTGGGGAGGAAGGGATCGGGGATAGATGCGGGGAGAAGTAAGGACGACTGGCGTCATTTATCGAGATTCCTCGAGGAGGGCGACTGGTAAGTAAGACAAGTCTCGAGAGCACAGGGTGGGTGTGTTGAATAGACGCGCGGAGGAGGGCAAAGCGCTGATCTGACTGAACAGCCAGCGTGCCAATCCCACCCACGTCAAGGTCGCGAAAAGAAGCATCGTGGCAGGGCAGCATCGTCAGACGTCTTCCTCTCGCATTTTCGCCTGACGCATCGCCGCTCGTCGCTCACCTTGGGGTGGTCGTCGAGCACGGACAGGGGGATGCCGAGCGACAGAGCCTGCTCCTCCGTGCGCTGATGGTCGCAGAAGGGGGGGGAAGGCGGGGGGGAGGTGGGGGGGGGGAGAGGGGAACAGGGGGGACTATTTTGTTTGAGGCGCCTCAAAAATAGACTCACGCGAGAAAAGAATTGGGAGGAAGAGGGGAACAGGAGGGAGTGGAGAAAAAGCGAGCGCGAGAAAAGAATTGGGGACTCGTGGGGATTTGTACAGGAGAGCAAATGACACGGTGACTTTTGAGGCGCCTCAAAAATGACACGGTGGAAAGTGGAACACGATGAGACCGAGTGCGTGGCCGGCGAGGGGGAGGGGGCGGGACCTCGGCAGAGAGAGGATGGGGGGAGAGGAGGTGGGGGGCATGAGGCATGGGGCGTGCAGCGTGCGACTGACCTTGGAGGTGGGGATACCGACGATGTCCTTCAGCTTGCCCTCCTGCCATCCATCCACATCACAACGCAACGGAACAACGAGGAGGAGCACCCGGCAACCAACCACCACGCGACAGTCAGCAGCCAGCAGTCAGCACGCATATTAGCGGTCGAAAGGGGTCGAAAGCGGAAGCGAGGCGGTGCGTGGGTAGAGCGCTAGCCCTCGTGAGGTGAATGATAGACCATTGGAGAGCGACTCACTTCACCCCGTTAAAAGCATCAAGCATCACCTTGAGCAGCTCGCCGATCTTAGCGACGGCGAAGGCGGCGGTGGAGCCTGTCCCCAGCCCCACCACCATGCCGCTCTTCACGTACTCCACCGCCTGGCGGGGGGGGGGATAGGCGGGAAGGGGATCGGGGCGGTAAGGAGAGGAGGGGAGGGGGGGAGGAGGATGAGGACACGCAGAGAAGGAGAAACGGGGGTGCAAGCCCCACCACCATGCCGCTCTTCACGTACTCCGCCGTCTGGCGCCCGATGAACGCACCGGAGGGGGAGAGCGGTGGAGGCGGATGCAGGTGGGGGTGCGGGGCGGGGGGAGGGAGGAGGAGGGGCGGGGGGATTCGCAGGGATAGGAATAAGGGCAGGTAGAGATAACGACGGGTGGAGATAAGGTGAACGGAATCCCCCTTCATTTCCCTTTCCCCACTTTCCCCCCACCACACAAATCCGCATTCTCTCCCCTCTCCCCGTTACCCGGCCCCCCACTTTCCCCCATGCGCGCGCGTACCTTCTCCGCCGCGAGCTTCTTCAGGTCGTCCTGAGAAAGAGCTGCGGAGGGGGGGCGCGGGGACGGGAGAACGGCAACGAGGGGGGAGAGGGAAAAGAGGCGGGAGGGAGAGGGACAGTGAGGTAGCACGACTAGTGGAGGACGGGCCACTTGTTAATTTTAAAAAACGGGTGAGAGTTCACAGGAGGATGCGGAGGATGCGGAGGAGGCGGAGATTGCGGAGGGTACGGAGTAGGAGACGGAGTGACGAGAGAGTAAAGGACGTGGCTTGCTGGCTACACCGCGAAGGGCGGCGACTCGGACTAGGCGGACTAGGCGGCGAGAAGGAATGGCGGGCTGAAATGCGCCGAGGAATGCCACGTGGCAGAAGCGAGGTGGACGAAGGACAAAAAATATGCGATTCTGTAGAGAATAGCGACGGGCAAGCGCAATTTTTTAGGCGCCTCAAGTGCTTGCCCGACCCGCGTGGCTTTTGAGTCGACGTAAAAGCCGGATCGCACGCCACGTTGTACTATACTCTCGAGCACAAGTCGAGCAGGAATGCTCTCAAGCGCTGCTCGCCAGCCAGAAACTCCCCTCCGCCACGGCTTACGTGGCGTGAGGCGCATTCGCGGCGCGTGTTCTTGATTGCAAACCCCGCACGAGGCGCTAAGCGGTGGAGAGGCGTCGCGGCAACGACAGATCGAGCCCTGGGGACGAGGCGCGTGCCATGCGGACTGCAGGCGAAAGATTGCGACAAGACAGACGACACACGCAGCAGCTGCGACGGCAGCAGCGACAGCCGCAGCAGCGCGCACCTGCACGCGCGACCGACGGGGACATGGCTGCATTCCCGGCAGCGCCGCTGGCGGAAGCCTCACGAGCCACCAGGCGCGCGCCTGCGAGATCCCTCGACTGGAACGACGCGCCGAACACGGGCTTCGCGGAGAGGCGCGCGGCCGAAGATTGCAGCGCAGATCCAGCAGCGGCGGCGACGTGCGCGGAGGTAGACAATGTGGTGGCAGCCATGGCTGAGGCGAAGGGAGAGAAAGAGTCGCGGGAGGGGCAGCGCAGGGAGGAGGCTGAGCAGCTGGGAGCAGGTGGTTGCGCGGGAAAGCGAGACCAGACTGCGAGGTTTGGGGTTTGCAGGAGGTCAGGCAGGGTTGGTTGGTGGAATGAGCTCTTGAGGCAAACCTAGGGATTTGCTGGCGGGCGGGTCAGCTCAGGGGTCGTAGGTGAGGTTAGATCGAGGCTAACGGTATCGGGGGTGATAACAGCGAGTGAATCGATAACGAGCCGAATCTCGGCTGATGAAATGAGGGGCGGAGAGTGCTGCGGAGCTCCTGCCCTTAGAAAGTGTCGACGACGTGGCGAGAGTGGGAGATTGGTTCGGGCAGGTTTGTGGTGAGGATGACCTGGACTGGGCTGCGCTGGTTGGTTTTGCTCAGGATCTGGTTGGGGCTAACGGATGAGGTGTCAAAGTCCGCGGCCAGGACTCTGTTCAGTTGGATGATGCCACGACGACAATGCTGGCGCACCCTTAGCATTTTCCCCGCTTCCAGCTTCCTCGAAAAGGAAGACTCCATTGAGGAAGCTAATGTATCAGAGAAATGTTGTGAACAAAATGTTCAGATCCTCAGTTGTCATTAACCCTATTCGCCATTTATGCATCAAGATCCCAAGTTAACAACAAATAAATAGCTGCTCATGACTCTGTACACCCCTTACTCACTAGCACGTATTTTTTCAACCCACCCTCCTAAGGTAGTTTCTACATTATCGTAGACACGTCTACGACAATGTTGTCCCATACACACTGCTGCCCCTCAGTCGCAGAATGATTCTGCTTGGAGCGCTGGAGCATTGCAGGAGCACCTTCCAGCCCCACTGAAACGCCATATCCTCATGCTCTTCCAGTGCGGCAAGCATCCCTGGTTGTTGTTCCAATCCAAGGGCAATAACCATCCGTAATCTCAGCCGTGGTGCACTAAACCGCACCCCTCCCCACACAGCCTTTCCGCACTGCCTCTGACTCTGCCCCGTCCTCCCCACTGACCCCCACTCTCCACAGCACCGCGACGTCGCCACCACCAACAAGGAGCAACTCCGTCGTACGTCTCAACCCGCCCAATCCTCAGTTCGCCCTCGCCGGGCGGGCCTCTCCCCCTCCTCTCCTCTGCTGTACTTGTCCCATCCCAAACCCTCGTCTCTCAACCCGCACCATGGAGTACACAATCCCGCCATCTTTCAACCCACCTGTCACCCACCAGCAACCTAACACCCCCCCCCCCCCCCCCCCCCAACCTTTCAGCCCAACCCCCCAACCGTCAACCCCATCAGCAGAACCCGCCCTTGGCCTTGGCGGGCTTCTTGGTGTCCGATATCACAATGTTGGCCTTGGCTTGTTGCTGGCCAGGGGAATTTTGGAATGGGGAGATTTGGATGGGGGTGGGAGGTCACGGGAAGGGAGAGGAGTGCAGAATGATCCAAAAGGTGAGTGTGCAGTGCGAGTGTTACTGGAAATGACACGTCATGGGTGGGACAAGAACACCGTGTGTATCCATGCCAGGGGACGGCAGATATAAGGATCCACAGATTGCTGGGACAAGCTGGAAGCAGGTTGCTTATAAGACAGGCCCTGCAGGAGAGAAGAATGACGAATGAAAACGAAAGGTGGGAGCAGATAGGGAAAGCGCACGAGGACGGGGGGATCAACGGATGGTGGAGGGAGAGGGGAGGGCGGGCGGTACTGCACCTCGGGCCTGTCCTCTGCACTCTCTGCGAGGCGCTGCTTGATGTCCCGCGCAATGGTGAAGAACACATTGTCCACGTTCAGATTCGACTTGGCGCTCTGGAGGCACATGTATCGGAGGGAGCGGAGAACAAGTAAGTCTTGAGACGTCTCAAAACTAGAATACTAGCAAGCGCTCTGGAACATGCAGTGGAGAGGGCGGAGAACAAGACGTGGGTTGATGCAGCACGCAAGAACGAGCATGCGGCAAGCAGAATGCAAGAGCAGCAGGAAAAGAGCTCTGGAACACACAGGGTGATAGGTAGAGGCTCCAGTATAGTCCGACCCATTGTAACCACATGGGTAAATAGGTGCATGTGTTTGCATTGCAAGTATGTGTTAATGCTTTAAGTATGCCTGCCTGCATGTGTGCGTGCATGTGCATTGCATGTGCATGCATGCATGTGTGGACGTGTGCATGAATGCTTCTGTCTCACCGCTTCAAAGAACTTGATGTTAAACTCATCTGCCAGAGCCTGGCCCCGTGCTGCTGGCACTGCCTGGTTAGGGTTCAGCACAGGGAGGGCAGGAGATAAGCAGGGGGCCGGGAGATGAGAGGGAGGGGAGGAGAGAGGATGGGAGGGGAGGTCGGGAAGGAAGAGGAAGGGAGGGAAGAAGGCAGGGAAGGGAACAGGGGGGAGGATGACGCTCGGAGGACAGGGTGGAACGTTCGAATGTGCGTCCCTTTCTCCGTGCGAGTGCTGAGCAACGCAGCAGATGACGCACAATAACTAGCTAGAGCCAAGAATGGACAGCAACAGAGAAGCAAGCTAGGGGAAAGTGGGGGAGTATTTGAGTTAGCGTGGGAGAGAGAGAGTGCGGGAGTGAGTTCGAAAGTGAGAGAGCGAGCGGGTGAGCGAGTGAGTGAATAAGTGAGTGCGTGAGTGAGGGAGTGAGTGAGTGAGGGAGTGAGTGAGTGAGTGAGCGAGGGAGTGAGTGAGTGAGCGAAAGAGTGAGTGAGTGAGGGAGTGAGGGGTGAATTTACCCGTTTACTCTCGTCCATGTCAGCCTTGTTTCCCACGAGAATCTTGTTCACGTTCTCAGATGCGTGCTGCTCTATGTTGCGGATCCAGTTGCGGATGTCTGGCGGGCAAGGCAGGCAAGACGGGCAGGGCGCAACAGGGGCAGGTGGGGGCAAGAGGGCGCAAGAAGGTCAGGATGGGTGCTGCTCTGTGTTGCAGATGTCTGGACGGCGAAGGCAGGGAGGACGAGGAGAGTAGGGTGGGAGGAGAATAAGGTGTGTACATTGAAGCGGGGCGCAAAGTGCATGGCAGTGTGATGCATGGCAGTGTGACACAGAGAGTCAGAGCCATGTTAGCGCGAAAAGACTCAAGCTACACAAATAGAAGAACTGAAAGGGATGAAAGGGGAAAGAAGTGTCGGCCATGGGTCTCACTGTTAAAGGATGACTCATCGGTGACGTCATACACCAGAAGGATGCCCATGGCTCCACGGTAGTATGCTGTCATGCCATGCCATGCCATGTACACATGGGAGAATAGTCAATTTATGTGTGCACTCTACAGAGCAATGGAAGCACATCACTGCCCACTCGGCTCCCATCACTAACATCCCATCACTTACTCTCCCACTTCCCCCAACCAAACCCTTATACACGCTCAGTTCTACGCACCAGCTCTCTCTCTCTCTACCCCCTTTCCGCCCTTCCCCCCCCCTCACCCCCCCCTCAAATATGTCTCCAAACTCGTCCCAATCCATCCATTCTCCTCTCACTACTTTCCTCCCATCGACCCTCCACTCTCCCCCCACCTACTAATGGTGATAGTGCGGAGCCTCCTCTTTCCCGCAATCTCACCAGACTTCAGCTTTGCGCAACGTAGCGGTACAATCACACAAATGCAGCGCAGCTCTTTCCCACCCCCCTTCCCCGCGCGCACCAGTGGTGATGGTGCGGAACCGCTCCTGCCCCGCGGGTTGGGTTAGTAATTTCGTTTGCAACGTCTCAAAACGAAATTGCTAACACACAGACCTTCCCCCCCCCCCCGCCACCCCGTCCCCCCCGCGCGCACCCGTGGTGATGGTGCGGAACCGCTCCTGCCCCGCGGTGTCCCAGATCTGCAGCTTGATGCGCTTGCCGTCCAGCTCGATCGTGCGGATCTTGAAGTCGATGCTGCCGCCCACGCGCAGCGCAGCGGAACACGGGGAGGAGAAGTGAGGGACGGAGGGGGGGGGGGGAGAGGGAGGAAAAAAAAAGGTTTTAGAAAGGTTATTTCAGAAGAAAAAAACACTTACTATTTTTTAGTCTTTCTTCCTTTGAAGAATAAAAGAGAATCCAATCTTGTTCCTTGGTAGTATGTCAAAGAAATTCTTAGTATGTTTGAAGATTTTCCTAAAATAACTGGGGGGGAGGGGAGGAGAGGCGCAACCAACGGACACTAAAAAGAGGATTTCTCAAGAGACGCACCCGATGGTGATTGAATTACTATGAGTGTAGATTATTTTTTAAAAGGACGGGAAGGACAGAGACCTACCAGATGGTGGTGATGAAGGAAGTGGTGAAGGAGTCGACTCGTTTCTCCCCTCCCCTCTCATCTCATCCCCTCGCATCCCATCCTTCCCCGGTTGTCCTCCATACAGTTTCAAGCCCTACAAGGTGAGGAGACGCACCCGATGGTGGTGATGAAGGAAGTGGTGAAGGAGTCGTCGGAGAATCGCAGCAGGAGACAACTCTTCCCCACACCTGCCGCCACACACGTGACGTGGTCAATCGCGCGCCGAGGCACGCGGAACGGCGCGAGTTTTTTTATTTTGTTTTTTCAAGAGACAGACGAGAAGAAGGGAGAGACGGGAGAAACAGGTGACGGGAGAGCAGGAGCTGGTAAGTATGGGGTCGATTCAACAATGCACGGGACCAGCGGCGGCGAAGAGCGCCGTCAGCGAAGCGCGCGATTACATGACAGGCCGAGGCGGAAAAGCGCAGTGCGGAGGGTGATGCAAGGCGAAAGAAAATACGTAAGGCAATGGGGAAGGATTGGCGAGCGGAAGCGGTGACATTGGAGCGCGGGAGGGGGGCGGGAAGGAGGGGGGAATGCGCGAAAGTGTGAGGAGAATGCCGGGAAAACGGGCTTGTCTCCGCAACATCGGCGCTATTAAATGTAGTCTTTCGATTTTCTCATAATTGGGGGAAAAAAAAGGAAAGGAAAAAAACGCACACGCGCAACATACCGCTATCGCCTATAAGCAGCAGCTTTATAAGATAGTCGTAGTCCGCCCTGGCCCTCCCGCCGCCTCCGCTCGCCATAGCGCGATCCGGTGTTCCTCTCGTGCGCTCTACGGCAAGCGCGGACGCGATCGCGAGCTACGCGTACATGCACCAGGCACCGGAAACACCGCTTACTAACCCTGGCGCATGCGCCGGGCCGCGCAAATTAAGAACCGCTCACGCAGACACCGATCTGGTGACACGTCAGGCGACGGCGCTTCGCTCGCTGCTGCAGCCAACCGGAAAGGAGAAATCGACGGCCACAGCAGCTCCAGCCCCACAGCGAAGGTTACAGCACAATAGCGGGATTAGGAAATTATAACAGGTGTGCTTATAACAGCAATGGTGCAGGTGGGGCAGGTAGATTAGAAAGCCGAGACTAAGGGGAGGGGAAAATAGGGTAAGTTGGGGTGAGGGAGCGGCAGTCTAGGGGTTGTACTGTTGTGTGCAGTGCACGGCAATTCCAAGGTCAAACAAAATGTGCTCGCGGCAATCCCTAGGCAAGGCACTGGCTGGGTCTGGGTCTGGTCTGGGGGGAAGTCGGGTGTTGGTCTGGCTTGGTACAAACCAGGCGGTAGGGGTTGGGGGCAGAAGGGGAGGTATTGTTCTCGGGGGCGGGAGGGTGGGGGGGACTGTGTGGGTTGGGGGGCTGAAAACGACAGCAGAAACTGGGGAGCAGTGGCCGACTTTCAGGGGACTCCCGCAAGGGGCTTGCGGAAAGCTGGCGGGGAGCCATAGGGTGGTCGTGTGTGGCGATGGTGTACAGTGATGGAGGGGGGCATGTGGAGTGAGGGGTGGGGCGGGGGGGCCGGGGGGGGGGGGGGGGGGATGGAGATGGAGGGGGAGAGTGAATTGATGATGTGAGTGATGGGTGAACTGTAGCAGTGTACGGCAGATGTGCTCTAGTGATGGGGAAATGATAAAAAAGGGTCCTCCCTTTGCCAGAGGCGTGAGCTAAAAAGGTCCGGCAGCTTTTTGCCCCGAGACCTCGTCTCCGAGCCTGTAATCCACCATATTCGTCATACAATACGAACACATCACAGGGTCACAAACTTGCAGGTTCATGGGGGCGCTTCGTGTCGTAACCCTGTCATGGGACCTTTATACGAATTCAATGTACTGTACTGTATTAGGGCACAAAAAAAAAAAACCATAGGAGCACCGCATGCGACTCGGGGTGGCATCAACCCTAAACTCGCAAAAGGGCGGCGTGTTTAGGGTTGATGCCATCCGGAACGGAATTCCGTCCCCAATGGGTTTGAGTTTTTTTTTTTTTTTTTTTTTTTTTTTTTTTTTTTTTTTTTGGTTGCGGAGCAACCTATTTCGTAAGGAAAAAAAATCAAGTTTGTGATTTGGAAAAATAAACTACCAAATCTTTAAAAAAAAGAATTTCCCAATAACTTTTAGTTTCCCTAATTGATTTGAATCTAAATGTTTGTCATTGTTTCCCATTATTTCCAGTGGCGTATTTTTGTCATTGACAAAAATAGGCTATCGCTTCCCCAGCTAAGTGGGGGAAGTCGAAAGCCTATTATGTCGACCGTGAGATAATATATTTTAGGATAGCAATAAAATCATCAGCAAGCAAATTTTTTTTTGACAAGCAACAATGCAATTCAGACAGCTTGGAATAGAAACGGTGTTTAGCTGACACCCATAACGAAGCCACTTTTCAGCTTTCACGAGTGCTTCGAATCTTGTGTCAAGTATACAAGAATACCAAGGGAATTAGAGGGGATCAGGAAACAAGGCAAGAAGTAGAGCAAAAAACAGACGGTGAACACAAATTACAGAATGATACAAGAAAGTAAGAAGAAAGGGTGGTAGAAAAATGGCAAAACGGAAGTCAAAATGGGTTGCAACTCAATAAAACGACCTAGATCTAGATCGAAGTGGGCTGCAACCCCATAAATTGACCTAGATCTAGGTCGAAAAAGGTCGCAATCCCTAAAATCGACCTAGAACGAAATCGATATGGGTTGCAGCCCTGTAGATCGACCTAGAACTAGGCGGAAATGGGCTGCAACCCACTACGGCCTAGAACAAGGTCGAAATGGGCTGCAGCCCAATACCCCAACCTATAACCATCGAGTTCGCGGAAAGAAGATAGGAAATGTGAGAAAATTAGAGGCAAATATGAGAGGTAGCTCTGCTGACCGACATACCTGTGCTATGAGAGGTAGGCCTGCTGAGGAGATTGTTAGGCGAGAGGAAAAGCAGAAGAGATCGCTGAAGTTGTTGGACCCTCGTCGCAAATCTAACAGTTTAAAATTTAACAATTCCCTCTAGTAGCGTTTGGATTAACTCAGTTGACTGGAAGGCAACTTTATCCCGGAAGGTCACAGGTTCAACTCTTCAACAATCAATTACTCTTTCGGTCTGAGGCCTCATCCAATTTCGACTCTTACATGTTTCCTCAATTTTCGAATAAATGTGTGACGCACGATCATTTGTTCTTGTGATATGGAAATAATAATCAACTGTTTGTTTGTGATATGGAAAATGCCGGCTTCTATCCAACAAACAGAGTGATTATTTGGTATGAAAATCAAACATTTATGTATAATAAAGTCTCCTCGTCGAATGCTCCGCAATCCTAAGACGATCTCATGGTCTCTTGTTTTTTTCCGTTGAGAAATGTTGAATGGTACCGCAAACGTCCCGTAAATGTTTGAAGTACTAAACAAAGAAAGAAGTGTATTTTAGGTTCAGATGCGAGGTCCCTGGAGCAGAAAATTGCCAGACCTTTTTTGCTCATGCCTCTGGCAATGCAAGGACCCTTTTTTATCATTTCCCCTAGTAATGCGCTAGACGCCTCGTCATCCAATCGTGATTGTCGGCTTGCGCCGGGGACTGATGCCATGTGGCACGGGGCAGCGTTTTGCATCTCTGCCTTCGTTCTACACCTAGCCTGCGGTAATTTTACACCCGGAAACTGAGCGGCAGAATAATTTTTGTTTCCACCCTAACCATTTCTGAGTGCGTAGACAGGACCCCCTTGTCCCTACGGTCTCAGCTCGGAAGACTCCACGCAGGCAAAAACTTTGAGCACTGCCTAAGCTGACGCCGGGTTTCCTGACTTGAGAAACACTACATCGAGCAGTAAACGTTTTGTATAGAAACCCAAGTTCAATTGTTCTTCAAGGGTATCCGGATCTGGTCTTCAGGAGATGCTTTCGGGGGGTGAATACCCTCTCGGTGGCACCCCCTGTGAAAATACTGGGTGAAAAAATACCGCGGGGTAGGTGTATTGTGTGTGGGTGGAATGCGGGGATAACTGGGGAATGCTGTTGAGTAACCCGCTGGGGTTGCCCTTGAGATCCTCAGGGAAGGGGCACAGGTGCAGAGCCTGGGGGGCTATGGGCGCACTTACCCGCTATTCAACAAGCCCTTTTCACCCAGTGGTTAGTGACAGGGTTTCTGACAAATGCCTGGGGGGGATGTTATAGTGTATGGGGAGATTTTTGGAGTTTGGGGACGAGGACAAAGCGGAACTAAAAAAATGTGGTGGACTGGGGGAATCCTCATGTTGCAAAATAAATTTCTGCCAGAATTATCAAACTGAGAGAAGTGAATAGGTAGGTAGAGGGTGAGTACAGATAGATATACCTAAGTATTGTACGCTCTAAGAGGTGACCCTATTCAGTCTATGCAAACATAACAAATACACATGTTTGACACACCCCCTAGACTGCATAGGGGAATGTCCTAAACGAGCAGCTCAGGGCGGCACTACTAGTCCAACCTCTGAGACAAGGGTCTAAGAGACCAATCAGAAGGAGTACAGACAAGGCGAGAGCAAGACCAGGGCGGCACTACTAGTCCAGCCACTGCGAGAGGACACAAGTCCAGTCTGAGTATACATATAAAGGACAGTACAAAGTCAAGGCCCTAGCAAGTGAGAGGCTACAGGAACTAGACCAAGCTGTACACAGTGCCGCTGATGATCTTTAGGCGCAAGCGCCTTCGTAAAGATATCAGCCGTGTTGGCACCTGAGGCCAAGTGTACTACGCGAGCCTGACGTCGCTGCTGTAGCTCACGCAGGAGGAAGTACCGCAGCTGAATATGCTTCGCTGTGCCCTCGAGTCGAGGCTCCTGACACAGGAGGATCATGGCCCTGTTGTCAGCGAACAGGACTGGGGCAGAGCTAGGCCGCTCACCTAAGTCAGTGAGTAAGAAGGTCAGCCAGCGGAGCTCCTGTGCCGCCATGGCACCAGCGTAGATCTCAGCCTCACAGCTGGACTGGGCAACAGACGAGGAGCGGGTTGCTCTCCACGAGACGGCACCAGAGCCAAGGCTAAAGCAGTAGCCCTGGGTAGACCTGAGTGTCTCGGCGTCGTTTGCCCACGATGCGTCTGTGTGTCCAGTAAGGACCACTGACCTGCGTCCTCCTAGCACTAACCCCATGCCCGATGTACTAGCAAGATAACGCAAAACCCTCTTAGCGGCAGACCAGTGCTGCGGTCGGTGTCTGCCTGTGGCCACAAAGCGAGCCAGGATGCTGAGAGGGTATGCGAGATCTGGGTGAGTGCAAGTCATCAGGTACATGAGGCAACCCACCAGCTCTGCGTAGGGGCCGCTGGGCTCTACCGACTCCTCAGACACTGGAGCGGAGAGTCTGTGGTCTACAGGCAGAGGGGTGGGCTGTGCAGAGGAGAACTGAAGGCTGAACCTCTGAAGGACCTGGCGCACCAAGTGTGACTGAGTCAGGGTGATGGTGCGCGATGCTCTGTCCCTGGAGATCTGCAAGCCAAGGTAGCGGCGCAGTTCTCCAAGGTCAGTGCACATGTGTCTCTTCAGCAGCTCTGCCTTCACGGAGGCCAGTGCGTCCCTGTCTGCTGTGGCAAAGACCAGGTCGTCGACGTAAACAAGGATGTAGAACGGAGTCTGGCCAGCACGAACGAAGAGTGAGGGGTCTGCGGAAGACGGAAAGAACTGCATGTCAGCAAGCGTAGCACGGAGAGTGTCGTGCCACTCACAGGGGGCCTGGCGCAGGCCGAAAACGGGGCGCCGCAGGAGCCACTTGGTCCCAGGAGGGAAGGTGCCAGTAAAGCCCTGAGGGCGAACAAGTAGACCTGCTCGTGTAGGCTGCCCTGAAGGAAGGCAGTGGAGAAGTCGAGGGAGTGAAGCTCTTAGTCACGCTGAGCAGCTAGGTGTAACAGAACCCGAAGAGTAGTCATCTTCGGGGTCGGAGCGAAGGTCTGGAAGAAGTCCACCCCCTCACGCTGACTAAAGCCTCTAGCGACATAGCGCCTTGAACACAGGCGGCTCTCCAGGAGGGCGCTTCACCTTGAAGAGCCAGCGGCCATCGACTACGTTCACCCCAGACGGGGGAACAGCGTCGACGAAGGTGCCGGTGGATCTCCAAGATGCCATCTCCTGCTCCATGGCAGCTATCCACTGCGAGGCCCAGTGTCACAGGATCGAATGTGTCAAG